GACCAATCTACTTTGAGTGTAAACTAAACGAGCCAATGCACATTTGCATGCGATTATTGCATCCAGCTGCCGCTGATCACAGCGTGAGTATAAGTAGGCAGCAGATGCAGCGCATATTCAGCTTTTCGCTGCGGAGCCGAGCGATCACATCGTTCTGCTCCTGTCTACTCTACTAAGAGAAGAAGACTGAACGAGTTCAGCACGCTCTTGGAGAGCTCTTCGTGTTGGCGGTACGGCGCTTCAGCGGTGATGGTTTCCCCTGTCGTTGCACTGATGGTTGCACACATCAGGCTGCACTACCCCCTGTTTGTGTGAATGTGCATTGGCTCGTTTAGTTTACACTCGAAGTAGATTGGTCTCTCTAAGCGAGATCCCAATTCGCCGGTCATCCGACGTGACATCTCCGTTCCCTCCCTCAGGGAACGAGGGTTACCATACGTAACCGAGACGATTCATACATCAGTACATACAAAAAAAAAGTAAGGGAAACTGCCACAGGCTCTTCCTCTTTATCAAATAACAGTATAAGCACAAAAATTATAGCTTCTACCAGAAACAGTACACACAGAAACACCTTTGACATAATATTTTCAGATCTGGAACACACTAAACCTCATCGCATATTGCCTGTAGTACAGATCGTATGAAAATTAAGACGCAGCCAATAAAAAGTCTTGCTGGAAAGTCACTGTCACATATGAAAACAGAACTGTGACATGCTCAGGTTCAATCTGATTGGCCAGGAAACTAGTGTCTCGATCAGTGATTCCACTCGAGGAATCAGGTTTCTGCCATGCTTTCATCAAGCGCTGTCAGTCACTGCACAGCAATCAAGACCTTCTGAGCAGGTTGTTCTTACTGTCCCGAGGCCCTGAAGTGGCATGTCATTTCAAACTAGCTGAGAGCAGCATGAAATAAAGTGCTGGACAGGGTCTCTGTGGCGGGGTGAGCCAACACAGACACAGTGGAAGTGGCGTCAAGCCTCGAAAAGGCATTTATTGGAAATGTATATGAAAATGAGGTAACACATTAGTATAGGGACCAATTCTCACAATTAACTAGTTGCTTATTAACATGCCTATTAATAACATATTGGCTTTTTATTAGTACTTATAATTTATAAAGCACATATTCTGCATGACCCTATTCTACATCCATAATCCTGCCCAATACCTAAACTTAAAAATGGCCTTAATAAATATTAATAAGCAGAAAATTAGTAGTTTATTGAGGCAAAAGTTGTAGTTAATGGTTTGTTAATAGCAAGAATTGGACCTTAAAATAAAGCGTGACCAAAAATGAACATAAAAATGAGTAGCCGGAACCATATCCCAGAAAAAGGATGCATAAATATACATAATTAAAAAAAGCTTTAAAAAAAGGCAATTTTGCTATTATTATAGTACTGTTCAGTTTTCTGTATTCATATTTTTTCATGTGAATTTGAAAAAAAGACAGATGCTGCATGCTGTACTAATGTAAGGATTAGCATCTAGCTATCAAGCATCTAATTTATTATTAGTTGAAAATGTCATTATTTACTCGTTACTTTTCGTTTTCTGGTTCCAAACCTGTATGATGGTTGTGGATTCTATCGGGAACACAGAAAGATGATTTCTTAAAACATAGCTCTTGCCATAAAATTTGCAGTGCCACTAAGAAATAAGCAGGATTTTTTTTTCAGATTTTTGTGGTCCAAACTGAGTGAATTTTCCATTAATACTTTTATTCAGCAAGAACTGTTTTCAACCTTGATAACAATCTGCTGAAATTTCAGCTTTGACAAAACAGGAATAAATTACATTAGAATGTTATGTATGTATGTATGTATGTATTATTTTTAAATAATAATAATATTTCACAATATTACTATTTTTGCTGTACTTTTTTTTATTTTTAATCATACAAATGCAGCCTTGGTGAGCAAGACTTTGATAAAAAAAAAAAAAACATCTTACTGACCTTACTATCTATAATCTAGTATGACTTTTTTTTTCTTCCCCTGGAACTCAAAAGAAGATATTTTGAAGAATATTTAAAGTGCTTTTTCTAGACTTTGAATGTTTGAAAATGCACACGCGCACACACACACACACACACACACACACACACACACACATTTTTTTTTTTTTATTCTTATTATTTTCTTTTAAAATGCAATAAAAAAGATACATAAAATTGGGACTGTACAATTTGGAAATGTAAGATTCTTTTTAAATGTTTTTGATTTAAAATGCAATTAAAAAAACAAAATATGTTAATATTGTAATAGTTCACTGTAAAATAGAAAATTGAGTGCTCATATCAGATCCGTTAGTTCAGGGAGCGTTGCAATATATATATTTTTTTTATTTCCATATTTTTAGTTACAGTGTACTAAAATATGATGAATATCAAACAGAAAAAATTTCCTAAAAAAAAAAAAAAAAGAAAAAAAAAGAACTTTTTGGTATAAACAGTCTCAGACAATTTTTTGGAGAAACAGACTACAAAGTCTTGTTTGCATCAGTTGAAAACACACACATACACACAAGCAAAAACACAGGCTCTCAGCTTGGTTACTGTTGACATGCTCACTGGTCCTTATCTGAGAAAGAGGCAGGAATGTCAGAGCATTCGTTGTCCGCTCCAGAGAATTCATAAACAAGAAAACAACAAACAAAGTAAACACATCAGATGACCCGTCACAGGTCTGACATCTCACTCTAGACCTCGGCTTGATCTGACTTTGAAATCGAGCATTCAAACTGTTTCTCCTCGAAAAGAATGAATGAAAAAAAGAAGACGCAAAGGAGAAAAAAGATGTAGGTTGGGGGAAGAAAAGAATGATGACAGACAAACTTGACCTTTCTCTGCTCATCACTTGAGTCCTCAATTCCAGACACAGCACCCAGACAATCACATTTCCACTTCCTCCCTGTCTTTAAGCTATGACGAAGCCAAACAAACACAGAGAGTATGTTGTTTTAAAAGATAATAACATTTTGTCTAGTGAATTATGAATTAAAATATGTCATGACAGCAAACAGAGCACAGAAGGATGAAAGGCAGTCTTGTGTAAGCTTTCTGCATCCTGGCAGCTGAACATGCCCACCAACATCTAAATATAGCTTCAGTCTGAAATAGCAGCTATGAGCATCAGTGTGATGCTGATTGGACAGACAGTCATGATGACAGCGGAGAAATTACATCAGACGGCTCGCTGCTCCTCAACATTACATAGCAATCACATATGTACATTCTGTGTCAGGATGAACTGCAATGAGCTCACAAGTTTCATACGGGATACTCTGTCCTGTCTAGGGAAGATGTGTTCTGCTAAGACAGCCCTTATTGAGTCCTTTATTGGAAAAACAAATACAGTCCTAGAAAAGGGAAAAAAAATGCTTCAAATAACAACATTTACTTCCAGCTTGGCTAAACTGAACCATTAATCCAACAGTTTGCATTGGTGGACTGTTGCATCATGATTGGCCCAGTTGAGATGAAATCTGCATTTTCTGAAGGAATTAACAAAGGAAATAATATAAGGATAATCATATAATAGAATATATCTAACATAACTGCTACAGCTGTAGATTTGGAATGGTGAATGTTTTGTCAATATAATTTGATGGAAAATTTTACAACAGTATAAGTATATATATTATTAATTAAAACTAAAATGTAAAAAAAAATCAGTAATCGAAATAAAGCTAAAATAAATATTAAACGAAAAACGTAATACTTTTAAAAACTGAAAAGAAAAATAAAGTTAAGCAAAAAAAAAAAAAAAATTCTAAAAATGACTGGCACATAATAAAAGTAAAAGCTAAATGTTAATTAAAATTAAAATGAAAACAGAATATATACAAATAAAAGCTAGTTCAAATAATAAATACTGTAATAGTATATAAATGATACTAAAATAACAGTGGAGTAAATAAATGAATAATCCATGCATTAATTAAAAATAAAATTAAAAGCAATTTGCAAATGGCATGTTAATTCAATAAATTAACTGACATATTAATTCAATATTTAAACATTTATAAATAAGCAGTTTTAAATGTGTCTCATAACCTTACTTATTTTGTTAACTATAGAGTTCATGAAAATAAGGCTGAAATTATCCACAGTTTGTATGTTACAGCAAATGTATTTTTTACCTTGAAATATCAGTTACGCTGGTAAATGGTACGCTGACTTCTAACAAGGCTTCTGTTTCTTTCCCACACTCTCCCCAAACATCTCTTCTAGTAGTATGTAAGTTTGGTGAGCTGGTATGAAATTCAGTGAATAGGGCAGATTGCTTTACAGCAGCAACAAATGAACATACACTTTAATTATACCCTGAATTCCACTTAACTGTAGGGAGCTGCAAAGTCACAAGAATACACAAAACTACATAAGATTGCTTTAAACGCTGATTAAACTGCAGAAATGTGTGAGTAGTAGTATGAGGGATTTCAATACAATCCTGCCTGGCAGAAAAAAAGAGCTATTAGATGAAAGCAGCACACGAGCAGATTGAAAAGTCTGAAAGAAAGTGTCTCTGAGTTCTGAGCTGGGAATGAATGAATGGAAAAATCACCACCACAAGGAAGATAGAGAGAGAGAGAGATTGTTTGTCAGCAGATTTCCACAGACAGGAGCCCACACACACACTGACTGACTGCACAGCCTCTTTTCTACAGATGCCTGAACTAGTAAGTCAGCAGTCAGTCAAGTAGAGAAAGCGCCCATTCGTCTCTGAGTCGAGGGTGGAGAACGAGTGAGAAAAAAGCACGAAATACCCTATTCTGAGCACTTTTAAGAATGATCAAACACTTTTAAAGCTCAAACAGAATGCTAGGCACGCAAGCCCTGACACACACACAAACAAAGTAACGAAAACACTCTGAAATTCTGCTGACAGCAACGGCCTATTCACTTCAGACATTTTGAACTATCAGATTGTGATCCTATTAAGAATGCATATTCCATTTACATAAAATATCTTACAAATGGTTAGATGTCTGATCAATAAAACGCATGAAGTGACCAAGTGCAAATACCCGCTCAACCACAAAGACACACACAAAAAAGCAAATGGCACACCAGAGCCTTTACACCGATTGTGAATCTGATCACGTAATTTGATCCCATTATGATGTCGAGCAGATCTAGGCCATTATGAATACATTATAGAGGCATTTCATTCAATTAAAGGGATCTGAGTGTGGTTGTGACTGACAGTGTATTTCACAGCACAACTGCCTCTGCTTATCCTACAGGCCAACAGAAGGAATGGCATATTATTATTGTAATGACCAATCTCTCTATTGTCTTTCTGTCTGACACATTAAAAATATATCTAAGAGCAGTCAAATTTCAACTTGTATGCACTTTACATTTCACAGCTACTTCAAAATCCACACTCACGGTCGAAAATAACATTTAAAAACTATAAAAAAATAAACTAACACGTTTCACAAAAAAGTCAAAATCCGAGTATCATTTCCCTGCAAACCAAAGCAAAACAATCCAAAACAAAACATTTCATAATTTAGCAGACCCTTTAATCCACTTAATCCATTTTTAAGTGACATAAAAATCAGGACAATAGAAGCAATCAAACCAGTAATCAAAAACAGCAAGCAAAGCAAAGCAAAGCAAAACAAAACAAAACAAAACAAAAAACATAACTTTTAATCATTCAGCAGACTTTCATCCAAAGCGACTTACAAATGAGGATAACAGAAGCAATCAAACCAACAAAACAAACAAAACAACAAAACAAAACATTTAATCATTTAGCAGACGCTTTTATCCAAAGGGACTTACAAATGAGGACAATAGAAGCAAACAAAACAAAACAAAACAAAAGAAAACATTTAATCATTTAGCAGATGCTTTTATCCAAAGCGTCTTAAAAAATTAGGACAATAGAGAAAAAACTAAACAACAAAACAAAACAAAAGTCTGCAGGCCTGGTCTGTTTTCTAAAACAGACAAAACCAGCTAAAATTAGCAAACCTACTTAGGTCAGTTTAAAAAAAATTTTCATTATGGTTTGCTTAGGCACCATCCAAATGTGGATTCAAGCAATAGCTGAGGAATAAAATAAATTAATAAAATGTTATTCTAAATTATTTGCTGTGCACTCCAACAATAATGGCACCATAACTGCAACTGTATTATTTGTTACCAGTATTATTGTGCTGGTGAAAAGCATAAAACCTGCATATGCACCAAACCTGCATAAAACAGACTGGACATGCTGGCCTAAGCTGGTCTTTTCAGCAGGGTAAAATTAACTGTAAATGAAGCACACAGCCACTCTCAGACAAAAGTCCTACAATTGAATATGTTTAAGACATTGATAAAAACTAAAAATGGTCAAATATAAACAATATGTAAATAAACATAAATAAAACAAATAAATAATATATTAAAGGCAGGGTATGTGATTTTTCAAAAACACTTTAGAAAACTGATTCGGGCCGAATAGCAAAACAAACTTGTAGCCAATCAGCAATAAGGGGCGTGTCTACACGTGATGTGGAGGAGAGAGCTTTCAGTGCATGGGACGGACATTAGCCGAGCCGAGCGACAGAAAGATAGAGATGGCAGATAAAAAAACAAAAGAGGAAAACGTCTGCGGAAAGATAAGGCAAGAAGTAGGACCCGTGTAAATATCAGATCAGCTTTCCAGCGCTGGAGAGAACTCAAGGAGCGGAGGCCTGCAATCGGACGCCGAGGTTGCTTTGTTTCTTCTCAATAGGTGAGTAACACCGTGTCTACAACAGCTAAAGTCTGACTACACTGGACGCGATCAAACGACCGTTGAAAACCATTTGAAATGTGTGTCAGCACGTCATAAATAGAACCCGGCAGCAGTTTTCTGTCGGGATTTGTTGCGCCGCGCCGCTCACGTCCGTAGACAAGGTGTAACATTGGTTTTGCTTTGTTTCACAGAACTAATCGTTGCCTGGGTTGCCACTGTATATGTGGGGCGGAGCTATCAAAATAGGGGCAAGACCCTTTTGGGGTAGGGGCGTGTTTGTTTTGGTGATTTCAAATATCAACATTGGCTACCAGAAATCACTTACTCTGCCTTTAATAACAATAATATGCAGACAAATATAATTTTATTAATAAATATTCTTATATAAGTATTTATAATGAACATGTATAAATAGATTAATGTATTTGTAGGCAAACATTTAATCATAAAACACACATAAACAGGAAAGCTTTGAATAGGCTCTGAAGATTTTTTATTGTAGTACTCCTCATCAGTTTCCATTCATATCAATGTTTCTGCTGTGCGTCATAGAGTGGGCGTCTTCAGAGAGATGCATAAGGCTACAGACAGACTTCATTGATCACATCAGCTCTGATATCAGTCCATGAGCAGAGTCTTTCTGAGTAATTTGAGAAGTCTATAGATCTGGAGTCCCTTCATATAATGCAAGTAGGTTATGCTCTTGCTCACTGTCAGCACTGCTGTTCATTAATCATAGAGCTGTCACTGAGGGCGCTCACGCTGGGCTTAATACGTTTAGGAGGCGCTAAAATATCATGTGGCAGCTTTGTTGGCTAATCACATGATGATGATGATGATGATATACTGTATGAAAGAGAAGGAAAGAAACTGAGCTCTGTTCCCACAATGATATTCTGCTGCGGTGGCCACAGTGCACATCGGTCAGCCAGAGAGACTGTTCTAGCCTTCTGGGTAAAGGGAGTTATTTGAGCGATCACATCCAGCCAATGGAACAGGCTTGTTTTGACTCACCGGGCTAAGAATAGACGAATCTTAGAGAGGAAGAGATGAGGCAGGCTACTGTAAGCTGGGAGGGGCTGAAGGGTGAGAGCCCACAGGAACATTTTATTGTTCAGAGGATGTGCTTTCATAACTTAATGGAGTTCTTAGTTATGGCTTATTGAATTATTTCTGTTTCCTAGAATTCCTTAGGAGATATAAAATCAGACACAAATAACATTTGTTGACATAGTAAGAGCAGAGAGCTATCAAATTCATGTGTATAGTATAAAGTATCTCATTCTTGATTGCAGACTTGAGCCATTTAAATTATTGTTGAGATTTCTTCTGAAACTAGAGGAGATCCATAAAATTACTAAGGCCTTTTTCTCAAGAAAAAAAAAGAAGCATGAGACACATAACTGCATAACTGCCTATTTGGTTTCCATGTAATATAATTTCTTTCTAGGATTAAGCAATTTAGATATTTAAAAGGTCTAATTAGTGATTTTCTTTCCTAAAGTAGCACAACAGTATTAAACCAACATACTAGCATTCTTTTTTTTAAAAGAAATTACTACTTTTATACAGCAAGGAATTTTTATTCTTCAAAGAATCCTGAAAAAGTATCACGGTTTCCAGAAAAATATTAAGCAGCACGACCGTTATCAACATTGTCAACATCAACATCGTAATCAACAATTTTTTTAACAATTCAAACAAAGTATGTGAAACACATTTGCAAAATACAAAGTAACAAGGACAAACCTAAATCAACATAGTTAAAGGGTTAGTTCACCCAAAAATGAAAATTCTGTCATCAAAGGTGGGGTAAGCAATTTTTCAAAAGCGCTTTAGAAAACTGATTCGGGCCGAGTAGCAAAACAAACTTGTAGCCAATCAGCAGTAAGGGGCGTGTCAACTCATGATGGAGAGAGCGTTCAGTGCACAGGATGGACATTAGCCGAGCGACAGAAAGATAGAGATGGCAGATAAAAAACAAAAGAGGAAAACGTCTGCGGAACAAAAGAAGGCTTACGATAAGGCAAGAAGTAGGACCCGTGTAAATATCGGATCAGCTTTCCAGCGCTGGAGAGAACTCAAGGAGCGGAAGTCCTGCGATCGGATGCCAAGGTTGCTTTGTGTCTTCTCGATAACACCGTGTCTGCGCCTCAACAGCTAAAGTCTGTCTAGTACACTGGACGCAACAAAGCGACGTAATTTTACGAAGCTACGAGAATACTTTTTGTACGCAAAGAAAACAAAAATAACGACTTTATTCAACAATTTGTCTCCTCCACGTCACCCTGGTGCCATTTTGGAGAATATCCACTGAACGTAAACAGCGTATGCTGTTCTGTGTCAACTGCGTCACGCGGATACGTTGTTTTCGTTCAAATCAAAGCGTAAACATGCATGACGCAGCTCAATCAATCAAATCATCAAAAATATCTTAATTTTTGTTCCGAAGATGAACGGAGGTCTTACGGGTTTAGAAGGACATGAGGGTGAGTAATTAATGACAGAATTTTATTTTTTGGGTGAACTATCCCTTTAATAATAAGAAATATTTCTTGAGCATCAAATCAGCATATTCTTATGGATCATATGACACTACCCTTGTGAAAAAAATACTAAAATGTATTTAAAATACATTTACATTGTGCAACACATTGTGTGCTAAGCATACTACACATACGTTTACATATTTATGTGCTTAAAAATACCCTGCAATTGTACTTTTAGTATACTAAACTGGTATACTTAAAGTCTGCTAAATTGTAACCACTTATTTTGTGCTTAATGCATTTAAATTGAGCGTAAGTAGTGCCGTGGTCCAACTAAAGATATACGGAAGAATATTTGATTGTGCTAAAGTGGAATTATTGCAAGTATACTTCAGATAAACTTTAATTATCTTGCATTTAAATACTGATACTATACAGAGATCATACAATCCTTATTAATAGTGATATTAAAACATATTTTAGGCATAATATTAAGAAATGTGCATTGTGCAATAAAGAAATACTACAAATAAAGTGTATTTATACTTTTATATCAGTAAGTCTTAAGTGATGTGTCAACAAATATGTTAATAGATTTGAAATATACCTAGTAAGAAACAGATGTATTTTAAATAAATTCTGGCATATGTTTTTCTGGCATAGGGTAAAGACTACATAAATGGCTGTTGAAATTTCAGCTTTGCTATCACAGGAATAAATTAGATTAAAAAAAAAAATTAGAACAGAAAACAGAATTAAAACAGAAAAAATTAATTATAATAATATTATTACCGTTTTACTGTATTTTTGATCAACTAAATGCATCCTTGGTTTGATTCTATGGTTCT